GGAGTGAACAGGATGGCGAGGAGTCATCTACACGGAAGAAGCCTCGTGTTGTTTGGTCACAAGAGCTTCACCAGAAGTTTGTCACTGCCGTTCAGCAATTAGGCCTTGACAGTGAGTTGCTCCTTAAACCTTTCCTTGTGTGTGTGGTGTCCTCTTTTCATTTCTACTAATGTGCTGTCTTTATTACAGAGGCTGTTCCAAAAAAAATACTTGATTTCATGAATATAGAAGGTCTCACAAGGGAAAATGTAGCCAGCCATTTGCAGGTACTTCATTTTCTCATTCCCACTTGCCTTTTGACTGTGTGTTCCCTAATATAATAATCTTGGATTGTGAAACAGTTCGACTTGTTTTTTTTTTTCCTCTGCTTTTGGCTGCAGAAGTACAGATTATACTTGAAAAAGATAGACGAAGGTCAGCAACAAAACATGGCTCAAGATACATTTGGAACAAAAGATTCATCTTACTTTCAGATGGCTCAACTTGATGGATTCAGAGATTTTACTTCCACAAGACATTTCCCAACCTCCTCACTCTTATCCCGGTCCCATTTCCCCAAACCCCATCCATCTACGTGCTCATCGATAAATCTTCAAGGAATTAACTCCTCCAGCTTCATCCGACAAGGGTATCACCACCAGAACACAAGCAACTCAGCTAGTCCATTTGGAACATATCACTCTTCTATGTTACCAAGAGCCCACAACGTGAATCTGTCTCCTCTCCAGTTTCCTAGAAGCAAGTGCTCTGCATACATGGGAGACCGAGCAATCGGAAGTAGCTTCCTTGGTTCTCAGATGTCATTTGGTGGCTCTAGCACCTCTCTGCCAAGTGCTTCAAGCAACACTCCAATGTTGCTAGCAAACTACAGACAACCCTTGGATAGAGCCTCGGTTGGAAATCAGTCTTGCCTCGATGGACCTTCGTCCAACTCTGGTTCCCCAAACATCGGTGTGCATGGCTTGTCTACATTTCCTAGTCCTAGCTGGCAAGGGAATTTGAATACAACCAGATTCCCATCAAACTCGTTACCACTAAATCATGCTTTCAGTCAGGATCAAGTGACATATGCAGGGAACGGTCTGGAAGATTGTACGTCTTTGGTTTCTGCGGCGAATTCTGGTGGAGAGATGCAGTGTGAGCCTCAGTTAATAGGTGACTTCATGCAGAACATGAATACATTAGACGGACAAAAGTGGGAGGAACATAATACATTCGGTAACGTGGAATATCCCTTACCAGCTGATAACATGGTTTACAGGGACAACAATGCGACCAGAAGCAAAGCCTTGGATGATCAGTCACTGGTTATTCCAATAGAGGACGATGCAACAACACTCAACAGTCATGAGTATGTGGGAAAAACTACAATGCTGGATCCAGAGATGAAGTCGGGAAAGTCACAGAATGCTCTTGTTGATAACCAGCACGATGTATTCGATGACATAATGAATGAGATGATGAAACAGGTAAGTAATAATAATAATGCCTTTTGTGTTTTTCTTTTTCTTTTTCTGATTTGTAATAGTAGAAAGTTGAAAGTGATGTGTTTGTTGCAGGATGAGAATAACGGAATGGTGGCAATGGCTACTAGATTTGGGCTTGATTCGTTCCCTCCACCTTAGTTCATCTTTCTCTTTACCGGTTGCATCATTTTTCTCCGATTTTAAAACCATTTTCATTGCTTTTTGTTTTTCTTCCTACATTGTTTCCTTCGATTGTCAATATAGATCAGCCGACACATTGTTTCGACCTTTTGATACTCTCTCTATGAATTTGAATTGAAAGCGAGACAGTGAAATTTATGCACTTTGGTAAACATAAAATAGTTGATTTTTTTTTTTTTTGTGTAGACGAAAATAGACTTGTTGATTTTCAAAACCAATATACGGATAGTAATTGTTGGGGTGATTTATCGGCTACCAATTTGATGCGACGACACATAGATATAGTTTAGTGTCGGACTAATGTCACGGTATAGTCACTTTCCGAACCTTGATCTAGAAGTCGAGAAGTGACTCGTACTTTACGAGTCTGATACACGGCATAAGTCATATAGCAGCATTGACCCGCAAAATAACGTATGTGGAAACCGAGTTTCATATCCATTTTGGGATTTTCTTGTAGGCAAACCACATTTCAACAAGAATCCAGAATTGAATGAGGAAAATTACAAGATTTTTAGTTAACTTTTTTTCTTAAAGTAGAATATCTAAACAAGCTAATAAAAAGGAAAAATACAATTATATTGCAAGGAATATAGATTTTTCATTAATTCAATTTAACATAAAGATGTATTTCATATTTCTTTTTTTGAAAAGAAACTTTTATTAATTTTCTTTTTACTCCTTTTCCAGAAATTTATGTTACATTTGCAAACTTTTATAACTTTGATACATATTAAGATTGTATGGATTTGCTAATAAATATTGTGATTTAGGTAATCAGAAAATAATGCTGTGTTTCATGTTTCTTTTTTGAAAAGAAACTTTTATTAATTTTCTTTTTACTCTCTTTTCCAGAAAAATTATGTTACATTTATTTTGACACATTAAGATTGTATGGATTTGTTAATAAATATTGTGATTTAGGTAATCAGAAAATTCAAAATAATAAATTATATGTAACAGATTGAGCTTATAATGAGAAACATTCAATTTTGATGTTAGAAGATATTTAAATTCCGATAATGGAAAACATTTGGTGGGGTCTAGAAAAGGCTAAAAAGGAGGTCAAATCAAAATGTGAATCTATGGCCCATTGTATTTGTATTCATCCTCCCACAAAACAAAACAGACATGTGTCTTCCTCCTTTATTCACATTAGATGCCACTAGAATCCTCTGCCTTACACGCTTTCCACGTGTCATCATCTCCTTCCACGGAAATCTCCTTGCTTGTTTCCCAATTTTCCTATAAGATACAGAATCTCTCTCTTCTTATCCTTTTACCTCAAAAATATCAGAGAATC